AACGTTTATCGATTCTTTTGGGCTTTTTAACCTTGCTTTGAGACTTCTCATCTAGCTTGGATTTCGATTTCTCTTTTCCGCTTGGAAATTTTCGTGCATCTATGACTTTAAAAAGTTTATCTTCCATCAGTATCGACGACTCTTTGCTTTCAAGTCACGCCAAGGGCGTAGTCGATTTTTCCTATTTTTCACATGGTTTGTATGGTCATACACAGAATATACGCGCAAATTTTTGTCGCTTATCTCCTGCAGTTTATAAATAACGAGCAGAGCCCTACTTTTTTTGCTCAGTTTAACTTGTATTGTGAGGATATCTTCCCTTCAATCCCTTTCAATCATTTGCCAAACTTAATTACAATATAATTTTTGTGATCGGAAGATTTAGTACAGGCATGACACCGACCTACCGACATGCTTACGTCGGTAGGTAAAAATTCGGTCTGAATTTATAATACATAAGGTCTAAGTGATGAATTTCAAATTTCATACATTTGCCTGCTTTTCTTTTGAGCTTATATCCAATAATCCATGCCTGCGCGCGTCGTCGCAATGAAGCAATATTCACTATATTCCAAAGGTAAGTTTGCATTTATTCTTATTTATAAGTTATTTAATTATTTCTGTTTAATTTTAGATTGACAAACAAAATGTGCCGCCGCTCACCGCCAGACCATAATAGCGATCGTTTATGCCTCCGCGCGTCCACTCTTCGGCACGTTATTCAACTTTGATTATGAAGAGTTGGTTCAAGAAGTTGAACGCTTGCAAATTTGTCCTTATTACTCCGCACCCTTCTCCGTACCAATAGCTCATATAGTTTTGCTATCATATCACTTCTAAATAGTTTCTAACATTAATAAATATTATATTAATCAATGTAGTGCATTGCCAGGCTTAGCAGCATGATAAAGTAAACAATCAATTTTATTCAGCTATTGTATTGATTGAATCCTGTAGGAAGTAATTAGATGAATTGTTCAAGTTTTTAAATATATAAATAAATAAATTTAAATCTTTGCTTAAGTGCTTAATTTTGACTTGGTTTGCAATGGCTAACAATGATTAACTTCGACATGATTGATGAGACTACAAAATAAAGGGATAGAAGAATAACAGAATTTAGAGAAGAACGAAATAACAGAAAATTTGATGGGTCATGAGTTTATGGAATTGGAAAACACCAATACCGCAATACAAAGTGACGGTAAACTTGGGTTGCTGCCTTAACTCTTCGTAGCGGTCATGGTTCATGGTCATTGTTCTGCTCGTTCGACGGCCCTGCGTACTAAAGGAAAAAAAATTATATAAGTTCACATGTAATTAATTAAATTTAAATTAAATCAATTAAACTAAAAATATATTAATAAATTAATAAAAAAATAAGTAAAATTATATAAAAAAATATGTATACAAAAGTCCACAGACTCAATACATGATGATTTAAAATGAAAGCAAATATATATAAATTTGTGTTCAGGTATTATATTATCAGACTGCGTCTGCATAAGAACCAACCAAAACAAAAACGGAATGCAAAGGCAATAAACTATTTTCTTCGTTAACTTCTTTACCAATTTATTATAGAAGAAATTGGAAAATTAGATTAATAATTTTGTTATATTATTTCTTATATTAGCTTGGGGAAAAAGAAATCCATTATTTTTATATGAACTTCAGGACTTTATTTAACATGCTTCGGATTGTCCGATTTGGGTCAAATATGCACCGTTTTGTTGTACGATTTGTTGCCATTTTAAAGGTAACTTCAAAATGCCTCTCTCATAGAAGTCCTGGTTTCTATTTGCAAAAAACTCTAGTAGTCGATTTTCACAATCCTCCCTAGATTCCAATTTTTTATCATTAAAGAAATTTGGTAACGCAAGAAAAAGATGATAATCGCTTGGTGCCCAGTCCGGACTATAATGCGGATGCATTAAAACTTCCCACCCAAGCTCCCGAAGTTTCTGGCGAGTCACTGTAGATGTGTGTGGCCTAGCGTTTTCCTGGTGGAACACGACACCTCTCTTGTTGGCCAATTCTGGCCGTTTCTGGTCAATCGCTATCTTCAAACGGTCCAGTTGTTGACAGTAGACATCAGAATTTAGCGTTTGGCCATATGGAAGCAACTCATAATAAATAATCCCCTTCCAGTCCCACCAAATGCATAGCAAAACCTTCCTGGCCGTTTGAGGTGCTTCACCGCTCTTTGACCACGATCGTTTTCGCACAGAGTTATCGTATGTGATCCGTTTCTCATCTCCTGTCAACATCCGTTTAAGAAATGGGTCTATCTCATTCCGTTTGGCCAAGGCTTCGCAGGTGGAAATTCGATCCATCCAAACACCGAGCTTCTTTTTGAATCCAGCTTTGTGTAAATGGTTTAAAACTGTTTTATGGTCGATTTTTAGTTCCTGGGCGATGTTACGACTGCTAACATGCCGGTCAACTTCGATCATTTCTCCGATTTGATCGACATTTTCGACGACCGGCCTACCTGTGCGAGGTGCATCTTTAACATCAAAAATTCCTGAACGGAATCTACGAAACCAAAATTGCACATAATTGGCTGTTTCAGTATCGGAACCATAAACACCATTCACAATTTTAGCCGCCTGGCTTGCATTTTCGACTTTGTCAAAGAAAAACTGTAATATGTCTCTTTATTCACTTCCATTTTTAACACGCTGTAACTCACAACTGAATGCACCAAACAAAAAACAGCAAAAGAATTTTTTTTACTGCGAAATGTACAGTATGTAAATGTACAGTATCGGAAATTGTTTGATTGATACTTTACGAGAAATCTATCAGTGCAGCCATCTACCGAAAAAATAATGGATTTCTTTTTCTCCAAACTAATATTTGCAATTTCAGTAATATTGTAGGGAAAAAATTTAATTGAATAATTTACCCTAGTCCTACATTAGTATTATTAAAACTTAAAATTATTAATTTATATTTGTATTGTCTTAAAATAAATTAATCTTATAATAAATAAATAAATATGTGCAACAACAATATACACAATACAATACATAGTTGCCGTAGTTTAGATTGTTATAATGAATATTTTTTAAATTTGTGAAGCAATTTTTATTAAAACACCTTCTTCTTTTGCATGTCCGCAAATCAGCAACGATGTAGGAAGTTGAGTAAAGAAGTTCATCATAATATTCAAATTTAGTAAATAGCTTACAATAAACGAAATAATTTACAATATCGATAGCAATTGCAATCGTAACGATTTCAATATATTATCTCTAATTATCGTAATAACGTAAACAGCTGTGTTCAATGCATGCGCATTGCATTTTGAGGTCCTGTAAGAGATGAAACGAAGGCGATGTGGACTAAATTTTTAACTGAGGGCGTTGTGGTATTGCTGACATTGTTATTGGAACGTGGACAACAAATAGAGAGATAATCACCACCTTGTAACAATTGTTACCATGAATGTAAATGTATACTATTTCTACATTTTTTCTCTTTTTACGATAAAAACCGTACATTGCTTTCACTGCAAGAGCTTGTGGGAAATATTAAAATTAATAAAGTAGAAATCTTAAAACGCAACAAATAAATAGAATATGTGAAATTTTAACATCGCTGTTTTCCGACAATGAAAGTTTTTCCTTTTAGAGCAAACAAAACAAAAATGAAACCGTGATGGAAAGAAGAGTAAAATTATAATTTATTTCGCATACGCAAACATTAATTTAATTACTCAAAGAATTTAACTAAATGTAAAAAAGTTTGTTCTGCAAATTTATGAGAGGTACTTTTTAAAGCAAAGAAAGAAAAGTCTAATATATTTTTGCAGCTGTTTGCTTAAATGCGTGTGCCTTTCCTACTAGGATCTATCTCCTTCATTAAATATTGCGAATTTAAGATGACCTCCCGATGCTTTTATACACATCGGTGCAATGTACAATGTGTCTTGTAACATATCATAACAACAACAGAATAAGATGTGTTGTTTTTCCTTTCTTGTGCTATAACGTACTAATAGATCAATAAATTGTAAATTAAAATAAGTTAGAAAATTATATTCGGACACGACCGAATCTTTTATGTGACATTAACATTTAAAAAGCGTGGTGATGGCAGTGATGTGCATTTTTTAAGGTATTCTTTCCGTTTCGATTGTTTCGTCTTGCTAACTTCGTCGATTATAAAATATACATGTAATCAGAATAGATGGTAACACCGTTCTTTCTATATTTGTGTGGGGGTAACTCTGAGGCTCTTTGGCTCTTGCGTATAGGTGGAAAAATTGCATATAAAGATTCTGGCCAGAAGCATATTTCAAGTACAGGAGCACAAAATAAGATTCTTTAATTTCATTTATTAACAAATATTAGTTAAGTGTTAAAGAGTAATTGTAAAAGTAACGAAAAATATGGCTGCTGGTGACGACATTTGTAAATTATTTAGCCGCGAACAAGTGTCCGAACACAATGACAATAATAATTCCTGGCTTATCATACATAATAACGTGTACGATGTGACCGCTTTTCTTAATGAGGTGAGCTGTTGGGGCTATTGGGGAATTTCTTTCAAAAATTCCATGTTTATAAAAAAGTGATGATTTTGCATTTTATTCAAGATTTATGATCGTGCCATTAAATTAAATAATACGATATAGGTTTAAATGCGAGTGAAATGTAATGTAATTGCGTTTTAGTTAATTCAACAAAAGATATTTTATATTCCATACTTTGCATCAATTAAATGACTGAGGTTTATTAGGGTGAAGGTGCTTGTTTGAAAGGCAGGGAAAGGTTAAAATTAAACATAATATCTTGATTTTATTAAGTAGTTAAAAAATAATTATAAATGTTAAATGTAATAGGATTCATAGTGATATTTTTAGATGAAATTTTTCATATTTCGTTTGTCCATTTAAAAAACGAACTTTAGAACGAATGCAGTTAGTGCTTTTATGTTATTGAAAATATTTTTTATAAAAAAAATCATTACGGAAAGAGTGCATTTATATCAGAGCAGTTTTGTGATAATGATTTGTCGGTTAAGTATACAAATCTCACGCAATATAACAAAAGAAAGAAAATAACACAGTTATTCAAATGATATAACATAGAACAGAACATAGGTGTAATCAGGGTAGAGCAGTCTTCTGAAGTACTGTATTGCAAAGCGAATTTCACGTACTTTTCATAGGTAGCAAGAATTCGAAATTCTTGTTCAAATCTTCTCAATTCTTTGCTATAGGTGATGAAAGCTTCCTACAAAATTTGGGACAAATTCGCATTTACCGGTTGCTTTTGTTAAGGCGATATTATCGAATATAACTTCTGAAAGTTTCACGATCAACATTTGATTTCGCGAGAGAGACAATATAATATCCACTTACTTTACATTTTTTAAGAGAAATAAGGAAGTAAAAAGTATATTTCAAGCTGCCGTTTACTGTACGCGACATGTGGTACAGGGTATATTAAATTTGTACGGACGTATGCAGCATCCAGAAGGGTTAAAAATATACCCATCTTCAGAATCATTTTTTTAATTCGATTTGTCTTTCCATCTAATCCACGCCTTTTTGTGTTCAAGCCGCTGATCGGAGATTTTTAGATATTTTGATGAAATTTGGTGCACAGACGTATTTTGGCCCAATGATCTAATTTAAAATGTTTCATGACGAAAATCAGACCATAATAGTTATTTAAGATAAAAAAAATTTGGGGCATCTTGGCCTATTTTTAGTATCCTACCTTAGTTAATATTTTCAGGAAAATTTTTGTTTTTTAGGGCGGAAAACTCTAAATGTTATTATGTTATGGTGAAAATTGACCCATAATAGTAGTTAGACAATGAGGCGTAGGGTATTGAATGTCGGCATTGCCCGGTTATAATGTGCTTACTTCTTTTTATAGAAAATATATTTTAATCTACGAGTTTACTTTAAATGTTTATTACATAATATATACAAACACGATAACATGATATCTCTATCATTGTACTTCGGTCTCTTTATCGTGATTTGTAATACGCATACGGAACTTACACGAAGAAGATGCTGAAAGATCTAAGATATTGAATGACTTTTGGACACAGCTACGAAATATGTATTTGAAGCTAATTTGACTTGTTAATTGGCTTAGATGTAAGCGTCGAGTACAAATACACGTAGCATACGGTGAGCGTTTAAAATTCAAGAATATGTTTTAAAAATACCCAAATGGTCAAAAGTCATTTCTTTTTTCTATTGCTATTTGAATAATCTGCTATCAATTTTCTATATGAATTTCATTATGTATAAATACATTTCGAGATTATCTTATAATTTATTTTATATTCATCATCGAAAGGCAAAAAACATAAACTAAATTTATAATTCCTTTTATAGTACCCAGAAATATACACCAGGCCCGATAAACTATATGTATTTGACTACGTTTGCCTGAGCTTGTGTTCAGTCGTGGGTTGTTGGAAAGTTTGCTGTCCTCAAAACTAAGACTTGGCCCATTTAATCTAAGTTCTTAGTTATCTTAAATTCATTAGTCGAATTTAAAAATGTGAGTGATACGCTTATAAGCACGCCGCAGATTGCAATTCGTTGAAGAAATTGAATTCAAACTCGGTACAAATATGAAAATGATTACAAAACAAAAACAAGTAAAAAGATAATTGTGGGTCACGCGACCTGCACCATAAAATACTCTACATCATCCTAGAGTTATTCATAAAACGAGTTTTCAAAATATGGGAAATTTTCGAAAAAGTGCTCCGATCGCAATCATTTTCAATAGCGCTTGTGTGCTTGGGCCAACACACATAAGGGCATGTAATTTAATTAAAATATCCAAAAAGTTGCGGCTTGTAGGTTGAACACAAGTAAACAAGACGGGCAGACGCGTTTAGATCGATTCAGAAAGCAATTCTATTGTGAAGAATTTTGGGTGCTGCAAACATCCGCACACACTTAATACATCCTTATACTACAAGTAGTGTAGGATGTAAAAAATTGAATTTCTCGATTGTAAGTAATATTATATATTGATGTGTGGTTTCCATCTTTAAACAAGTCGTGGCTATGTACCTTCAATTGTGTGCATTTTGTATAACCAAAGTCTTGAGAACGCATTGTCTTCATATAAACAAAAAACTAGACGGTTATCTTTTCATTGAAATATGTATCACGTAAATATCATTATCTGAGCAAAGTAATTAAATGATTAAATGTGCTCTGTATACTGCATTACTATTGTTGTTATTGCTTAACACCCAAGGTGGTATATTATGTTTGTCCGCCCTCATGTAGCATCTAGAAATAGAAATCGGAGACGCTGTCAGGCGTACATATATATAATATTGAGAAGAGTAAAATTTCGAAATGATATAAATCGGAAAAATTTAAGACAAAGTTGAAATTCGCATATATATATATTATTAGAGGTTTTTTGAAGATGAAGCTTGAGCGAAGAAATTGAGGAAAAAAAGTTTACAAATTTATTGATCGGACATCGCACTTAAACTAAAACAGATCCAAATATTGAGGAGATTAATTTGAAAGTTAAACCAACGTTGCTTGTGATCGGACTACACATACGAATACAAATAGTATCAATTGCACTATACAACTTTTTGCTGATGTTGATAGTAAGAATTATAGAAAAGATTATACATATTATGTGCATAGAATAAAGTCTACAAAATATTGAGCGTTGAAAAACGAAACATTCTAGCCGATGATTTTTTGTTGGTACATTCTGACATTTCCAACTCAATAATTCTATTCAAATTCATCGCTCAGTCTACCGATATATTTTCACGTCTTACTGGCAGCACCTGAAAGTTATCAACGATAAAAGTTTTTCGAATAGTTTCAATTAGTAAGAAAAGTACATTCTCTACCGTTCGGGATCTCAGATATTCACTTGTCTGTCGGTTCATAAAATTAGCAATATTTGATGATAACATGTAAAAGTACCATGGTGGGCTCGCGGTTCACCATTAAATACCCTACACCAGACTGCAGTTATTCATAAGTCGACTTTTCAAAATAACAATTTACATGGGGAAGGGTCGGTAATGTGGTCCGGTTTCAATTTCAATTTCAGTGGCGTTCGTCCTTAGGCTAAAGCACTTCAGGTTACCAAATTTCATCAAAACGTCTCAGCCTAAAGGTTGAAGCAAGGAAAAGAAGTCGGGCAGACAAGCTTAAATGATTCTAAGTTGATCGGTGTAATAAAAGATGGGGTAATTTCACGTTCTTCCGTGTTTTGCATACATCCGCTCAAACTTAATATATTCTTGTGCCTAGGCTATGAAAATAACACGTGCGCATTTGGATAATGAATATACCAAAAAGGGGACAGGAAGAGCAAAAAACACACGTGTACAATTTTGGCACACATTCTCAGGAAAAGCAACTATCCGTGTTTCAATTCAACATTTTCTTGGACGTAGGACATCGCCGAGTGAACATATACATAATATATACATTCGCACATGGCATACCGAAACATGTGTATATGAGTATGCGTTTGTTGCTAATTAGTGTTTGAAGTTGCTAAATTTATAGTTTGGAGATCAAGTGTATACTATTTAAGTAATTAGTAAAATGCCTCTAAGACGTGAAGCTTTAAAAATACCCTATCTGATGTATCTTAGATTGACCTGAAATTCCGTACATATTTATGATAGTTTAAAATAGGTTTTGAGGTTTTGTCTTGTTTTTCATATTAATCGCGGCATCGCAAGAACTTAACTGGCAGTACTAGAAGTGAATGCATGCAAAGTCATTGTATCACTTTAAATGTTTGTCCATCACTTTCTTCTATTTGGTATTCATTTAATTTTTATTGCTTGCTTGCTTTATCTTATAGCATCCCGGCGGCGAAGAGGTATTACTTGAGCAGGCTGGAAAAGATGCTACAGAAAACTTCGAAGACGTCGGCCATAGTTCTGACGCCCGAGAAATGATGAAAAAATATAAAATTGGTGAATTGGCGCATGACGAACGGTCAAATATACCGGAAAAGTCTGAACCTAACTGGAATAGCGAAACGAAAAGCGAGGAAACATCGATGAAATCCTGGCTAATGCCCTTAATATTGGGTTTAATAGCAACACTTCTTTATAGATATCTATTCGGTGCTAGCACTAAAACACAATAAGCCTTTCACAGAACAAATTAATACAATTTTCTTCTGTTTCATTTTTTTTTTTTTTTTTTTTTTTTGATTTTTGTAAAGCTTTATGTAACATGATTAATGTCCATGATTTTCCACTGTAAAAACAAAAAACATTCTACAATACAAATTTATTTACTTTAATTGAATGTTATATTAAGCATTTAAGAGTCACAAGTTATTTTCGTACACTTTTACTTGTTAACGAAAAAGTGCTCTTCAGTAAGTGTGTCTAAATAGGTTTCCTTTTCAATCAAAACCAATAAATTATAATGCAATTTATAAATACATACAGATTTGCTATTTTTATCGACGTAACTGCATTTTACCTTAAGTTAGGCTTCATGACAAAATATATTTTGTTAGATTTTTAAGGGACTGGTGGATATTTTTTTTTTTTTTCTTGTTTCTTAACTGCAATAGTTTTGATTAGAATTAAAATTAATAAAATGTATTGTTTTGGTTCTTTGTTATTCGCATAAATATATTATTATAATAAAAAAATGAAAAATGTTAAAGAAATTTGAATTAAATAAGAAAACGTTAAATGGTCGGTCGTTTTATATACGAGAGGATGGCATGAATTCGTAAATATAGTCTGCGCCACTCCTGATGCAAGTTTGTCCTGGTGTACATAACAGGCGGAGTGATTTGAGTCCATTCAAGACATCTTTAATTCTACCGATCAACTCGGAAAATCTTTCGAAGCTTGTCTGTCTATCCGTTCGTAAGATATTTTGATGACATTCAATAAACCGGCATATTATTCCGCAAGGTGATTGGTTTTCAAATTGTTCGCACCTCTCTCCAGACCAGTTGCCGTATAAAACCTTGTTTTCAACAGTCCTAATATAAATACCAGTACGGTGGTGTAGTGTACTTAAAGGTACGGTATTTGACTTCTTTTATTTACAATGTTAGTTTAAACTAAGGTGCAAAAATGTGGGAGAAGGGACTTTATTCGCATTTTTCTTTTTCGTAATCGCTAAGAATAATTGATTATCTCATCTCTGGATTACGAATGAATGGAAGGTAACGTAGTCCTAGAGCGGTTGAAATGTCTTCAAGGAGCTATTTTAATTAAAGCTGCAAAGATATATTGTTTCGAAAAATTATCTAACGTTCGATATAAATATTTGTTAAAAGGTACAATGCGTTTGGCTAACTGGTAGGAGTGTTCCCATAATCTTCCAGAAAATGACTATTTTAACCCAATCAAGAATTTACAGTAATCGAACACATCTTTTCACGTGGGATTTTTTGATTTTTATTTGTTTTTCTCTTCCTCTTGCCGCATTGGATTTAAAATTCCCGAATGCGAAATTATTTGGTACATTCTCACGCCATACACAACTTGTAGTACAAGGGTATATTAAGCTTATGCGGATGTGTACAAAACCGAGAAACTTGTCCAAACTTGTCTGTCCACCCATCCATCTTGTGTTCTTGTGTTTAACCTACAAGTCTCAATTGCGATATCTTAATGACATTTGGTACATCGGGTGTTTCGTCGCAAGGACAAACGCTGTTGGAAATTGTTCGGAGCAGGCCACTTTTCGACCGGTTTCCGAACGGATAACTGTATTTTGAGGAGTAGTGTATGGCGCTTAATGGTGAGCTGTGGCCCACTATAATGTTCGTATTTGTATTTACGCGGTTTTCTCTACATTTTTTCGAACATCAAAATTTTTCTTGTATTGTTGTGCGTATAAAGGAGGTTCAAACAACAACAGGAGATTTCGCGTAGACAAAAAAGTTATGTTTGTCTTACCTTTAGTCGGGCCACGCAGGGTATGTAACCGACCCCATATCATTTCGCTTAGTGCAGTTATTCAGTCGTTTTGGCAATAATACACCAAAAACTACGCATTGTTATCACGCAAGCCCATAACTTTAGTGAAAGCTCGCGTATTTGAAGATTAGACGTTCTTTCCATGTAAGAGTTTGGCTTCGTGATGACGCCTATTTATGTTAGGGTTCAAAAAAATAGATTTATGTGACCCAACTCGCTACTATCAATTTATTTCCATCATAAAATATTGACAATTAAGCATTTTTCCGAAGGGCTTACTACTCATCTTTTATGGAGTGTGCAAAAAAAATAGACCCATGTAGTTCAAACTAGTTCCACTTAATTTTTTTATTTAATTACTATCATGAACAGATTCTCGTCACAAAAAATTAACAGTTAAGCTTTTTTGGCTTATAAGGGTTTACGTTTCATGAAAATCATTATATGCGATGCGTATCCAAAAATAGATCTACGTGGCGCAAATTCGGTAAAGTTGATTTCTATGCCAATTTTCGCCATGAAGTATTGAACGTTCGTCGTTTTTACCACATAAATATTTAGCTTTTGTAGGAGAAGGGTAGGTTATATGAGAGAGGGTTTAAAAAATTGACGCAGCCGGTCCAAAGTTTTGGGACTAATTTATTATTATTATTATAATTTTAGACTAATGAAATAAATTCTTAGGCTAAAAAAGAAAGAAAGACATTGAGCACTACCAACACAGGCTTTCTGCTCTAATTTATAAGAGTACATTAGATATTGAGCCTAGTAGTTTTGATAAAGTAATATATTGTGTTGATATTATATTCTGTAGCTGATTGTAGAATGTCCATAGGGTTAATCGTTCCAAGGAGGAAGACTGCTTCAAGATCCATTGGTGAGTTGCAATTGTATGACCAAGGCGAATTCTCGAAAATGTTTGGATCTTCATTTTCTCAACATTAGTTGGATATAAAGGTGGAGTTAGTTGAGGGTTAAAGGAAGAGTAGTGTTGATGATGGTACTGTAAATTTTCTTCTGCAATTTTCTCTTTAACTTTTCTTCCAATGTATCTTTGAAGATCCAACTTTTCCACGACGTCATCCATAATTAGAGGAGCACAAGCAGGATCCTTTGCCGCTCGATCAGCCTGCTCATTTCCCAATAAACCGATGTGACTTGGTACCCATAACATTTTAATTTTTCCCTCGGGTTTTGTAATTATATTCCTTAATTTGTTGATGGTGTTCCATCTCGAAGTCGAAGGATTCCGAATAGCTTGTAATACAGACAAACTGTCGGTAACAATGACAGTTTTGAGTTTGTTTTTATGGGCAAGGTTCGCAGCGTGAAGGATAGCTCTGGCTTCGGTTGTGAAAGTTGAAGTACTTTTATGAAATATGTGGTTGAGAAGAACTCGTCCTGTAGCATCAACCACGGCACAAGCAGGAGGCAGACCAGGAGATTTTGAGCCGTCTGTGTATAAAAGATTCCAACCAGTATTGTCCAATACTTGGGTTTTCTCAGCTATTAGATACCTGAAGACATAATTTGGTGTATTTTCTTTCTTGTGCATAGACAGCGAAATATCAAAAGAGCAGTCTTTCAAAATGCATGGGGGTTTAACACCAAAAGAGCGGAAAACTTTTAAAGGAATGTTCAATTCTTTTGCGACGTACAGACAATAGTCAATTGCAGATGGTGACTTTGGAATTTCCTTCGCAATAATAATCTTTCTCACGTCTTCACCGAGAATAGAGTTGTTTGAATTAAGAAGCTTAGGGACTATTTTAGCTTTTAACTCATAAAGTCTATTTTCTAAAGCTGGAAGACCAGTTTCAATTATAATATTATTTATGGGCATCGTTCGAAAAGCATAACAACTTGCTCTGACGGCTTGGTGATAGACCGATTTAAGGATGTTGATATTAGATTTGCAGCTATCGCCATAAATTATCAAAGCATAGTCAATCTTGCTTAACACAAGCATTTTCGTAAGATAAGCAATAGTGTTAACAATAAATAATAGAGTTCTTGCTGAGAAAACGATTGCAAAGGTGGGATATAGAGCGAAAGCACTGTAAATTTTATGTTTAATATTCTTTGTATCGCTACGGCTTGTATGTTTGAGCTAAAATTTATGCGTTTGTGAGGTATATTTGATTTTATAAAAACACCAACTCCTTGTTTGGAATATGAATTTTGATCAGCATTCGTGAAGTGTCCAGTATATGATTTGGGTGGAATAGGATTAAAAGAGCTTCTAAAATGGGTTTCTTGAAGCGATAAAAAGGTTGGATTAAAATCACTTATGAGTGTACGGAGTTCATCAAAATTATTAATAAGTCCCTTAATGATCCATTGTAGAATTTTAAAAACTTTATTTAATTGTAATGACATGGAAGCAGAGTGGAATTAAGGTTAAGTGGACATGTCAGCGTCTCCGTCGAGAAGGTCGCTATAGGAATTTTTCGTGAATGATTTATTCTTACCAGCTGAATAATCTGCACTTAGGTGGTTTGGTACATGTGAAGGGCGACGTGTGGGCGCACGTGAATAATTTGAAGTTGAAGGTTGATTAATGGATGAGAGAATGGATTCATTACCACTTGTAATTTATTGAGTAAAGTTGAGAGCTGGAGCGTTGGTGCCCCTCGGTTTCCCAGCCAGGACAAGTAAATTTCCGTCGCGTAAAATCGATATAGAGTCTATATGTGTTGTAATGCAATCTAGTGCTTTTTTAATAGCGAAAGGGCTGAATTGCGAAATTGTTATGGAGGGATCAGTTAGAGAAATCACAACATATTTTTTGTCGATAGGAACGATGCTACTGGTTGGCAACACCGGAAATTCGGAATTTTTAACTTCTTTTTCTTTGGCAGGATGTGTCAGCTAATAGATGAAATCTATTTGAGTTTATATCAGGCGGCCCCGGGGCCATTATGCCTTATGGTTGTCTCTTATTTAATAAATTGGGAAATAACCACTCACTTGAAAAGGTTTGGGAAACTACTGAGGATAATGTCAAATGTTTTCAACTTTTTTTTTTTTTTGATTTAATGGAAACACGTACGGTATCCGCGATGATCAGTTTTAGCAATAAACACACAAAAAGTTCAATATATTATAATAAATTTGAACACTTTTAAATACGTATAAAGCAATAAAGGAGAAATTGCAAAATTTTTTTGCACAAAGAGAAAGCGCTTGGACAGAGTTGTTCCTTGAGTTAAAACAGACATTATGTATAAGTTTCACTTTAGTCAAATGCTTGGTTTCCTGATTGTACAATGACACGTGTACAGCACACACACATTCATTTATATACACATATAAATAAACTTTGTCAATTAAAGAAGTTTATCTGAACCGTTGTGTGTCCCACTTAAAAGTATTATCGTTCGAATTTAGCCAACGTTTACTTGTTAAAATTTTAAAAACAAAGCGAAAGGGAAGGGAAGAATAGGATAGATGGACAACATGCTTAAATAAAGCATTCTGCGTTGATTACTGATTATGATAATCCATTCTTCTCTCTCTAG